ACCCGAAAGCCGGGCTCAGGCCCCTCCCCCCTCCCCCTAAGCCCACACGATTGACTTGCACCTGCTCCGGGGGGCGCAGGGACGGGCTCAGCCTCAGCAGTTCATTGTACAGATTACCTCGTCTGAATCTAAGGGGTGCGATGGCCAGTGGTGCGTCTCTACCCGATTCCCAGTTCCTGTCCCCAGGGTCCCTACTCCCCAACCCTTCCGAGGGGCCTCGGCGGGCCATGGGACTCTTAGGTGCCCTGCTCCTAGAGATTCGCCCACCCTAAAAGCCCGCAGCACTTCCTATGAATCTCTTTTCCAGCATTCATTTCTCCGCACTGAATCACGTGGGTTTAGTTTGGACTTTAAAAACAGGGCAAGAAGACCTGAACATGGTCACAAGAGGCCAGCAGAGGGCCAGCAGGAGGCCCCAAGAAGAGAAACCTGCCTGTGTACAAGGCCTGAGTGAGGATGCTGGGCATGGTTAAGGAAACAAAAAAAAACCAAGGCCTTTCTCTGGGAGCAATGGGAAGGGAATCAAGGCACAGCCAGCACAACTCCAAGTCGCTGAGACCCTCCTACACATCAGGGGACACAGCCATGAGGCCCCTCCTGTTCAGGAACCAAGTCTAATGGGAGGCCAAGGTCAACTGGAACCTCTGGGAAGTCACCAGGACTTCAGAGAAGCTTGGTCCCACCCGCCGAGAGAGCAAGGACGAGCGAGGGGAATTCCTCCCAGGCACTCAGGAAATCCTACTTTTCTCTTACCTTCCTGAACCACTGAGAGCAGATTTATAAATACAGAGCAGAAAACAGGAAAAACTAATGCTTAGAAAGTAAGTATCCATGGGCATAAATAAATGTACACTATATTTAAAAAGCAATAACACTCTTCTCATTTTCATTTCTTCTTTCTCTCAAAATGTGTAGCGGCAGGTAAAAAGATCTCTCCAAGGTTGCTCCAAAGTCCGTGGGAGTGAATGTTCCGGTAGACCCGGGGCTCTGCTGATGGGGCCCCGGCCACTTGCGGACAACGCTGGCACCAGGCTTGATCACCTCTGCACCACTCGTTCGTAGTCTGGTTGGTGGCAGCCAGGTATAGAGCAAAGCACAGGAAGCCGCCCAGGAGGAAGCTCAGCACCATGACAAAGCCCAGCAAGAAGACAATCCTTGGGAAGGTCAGAAACAGGTACTGGGGGCAGAGAAGAAGTACATTAGGCAGCTGGGCTCTGACACAAGTAAGGCTCAGCACCTGCCAGCCCTGGTTCTGTCCATGAGACTGTCAGAGCTGCCGGCCCAGCTCACCCACCTCCGTGCACATCTGACCCACTGAACGCAAATGAGAAGCACATACAGCACTAACCAACAGCCCAGGAAGACATCCTAGTATGTGCAAGACTGTAATAAGGGAAAAACAAAGTGTAGACACAAGGAAAAGGGAAGGATGCCCAGGAGATGGTGCTATGCCAGTTAGCTACTTATAAAATACATGTAGATCTCAGTGTCCCAAAATATACATACACACTTCAACAGCTGATTTCTGTTACATTTTGAAAATGAAGTGTATTTTAATAAACACTGCCTTTATAATTATTCAGAGTCAGATGGACAGAAGAGATCAGTCTCACAGGTGTATACACTGTACAGTGGCACTGATTTTAACAGTCCTCTCCCAAAATACACAGCGAAATGTCCCTCCAGGAGGAGGAATAAAACTCTGGACAGAGTATGGAATAATGGAATAATAAGGAGCCAATAAAGTGAAGGGAATTTCTATGTACTAATCCGGAAAAGATGCCGGTAATTTACTGCCCGGTGAGAAAGACAAGAGGCAGGGATCACAATGGGACCCTATTTGTACAAACGCAAAAATGGCTCTGTGGACACATATGGCAATATAGCAAACGTAGGAAAAAGCCTGAAATACCCACACCAAACTACAAAAGCTAAGGCCTCTGGGTAGTGAAAGTGTTGGGAGGGAAGGAGAGGGGTGTAAGTTTTCATTTAATTTTATTTTCAAGATGTTTTACATGTTCTTCCGCTGCTCCAGCTTTGAGATATAATTGACATAAAACACTGAGAAAGCTTAAGGTGTACAACAGTAATGCAAAATAAAATGATTTTATAAAACACTTTAATTATAAAAGCAGTGTTGATTAAAATACATTTCATTTTCAAAATAGAAATCAGCTGTTAAAGTGTGTATACATATTTTTGAGACACCCTATATGTATTATATATATACACTGAATTGCATACTCTAAAAGGGTGAATTTTATGGTATGTGAATCATTTACCAAATTTAAAAGATTATATATCAATTTTTTAAAAAAGTAATGGCTTTGCCAGGCCAGCATGGCTCAGCAGTTGAGCATTGACCTATGATCCAGGAGATCGAGGTTCAATTCCCGGTCAGGGCACAGGCCCGGGTTGCGGGCTCGATCCCCAGGGGGGGCGTGCGGGAGGCAGCTCATCAATGACTCTCTCTCATCAGTAATGTTTCTATCTCTCTCCCTCTCCCTTCCTCTCTCTGAAATCAGTGAAGACATATTTTTAAAAAACAAAAAAATAATGGCTTTTACTGGGAAAACAAATGTCCTTTTTCCAATTTTGAAACTGGAAATGAGAAACATACAGCTCACAACATAATTACCTGAATAATCAATTACCTGAATAAGAAAGATGGTGTCAATAACCTGGGAGTGTCCAAGGTCATCAACATAAGTCCCCAGGTACAAGTCTGACAACACTACCAACCGGACCAGAAACACAGTGGTTACAATGGCCATGGTGGCAGCTGACGCTGTCAGCGTCAGGAGGTAGATGAGGAAGTACCTGGCGTTCCAGGCCCCGATGCAGTTGTTCACCCAAACACAGTGATGGTCAAAACGGTGTACACACCGGTTACACACACCTGCACAGAAACAGGGAGCACAGCCCTGGGTTGGTCCTTGAGGCAATGACACCACGCACACCTACTGACATTTCTACAAACTGGCAGTACAAGCTGGGGAAATGGCAGCTGCTGTCACCAAGCTTTTGGGACTGCAGTGTCCAAAACAGCAGCCACGAACCCAGCCACATGTGGGTGCTGAGCACTTGATATGCGGCTATGAGATACACTTGAGTACTTTGTTGACATCAATAAATTTACAGTTTTTCAATTTGTACAATATTCCTTTTGAGTTCAATGTAACAGTGAGAGGATAAAAGAGTGAATTTATGTAATGTAGGCAGTTTTAAAACTAATGCTTTTGCTTTAAAGTCAAATCAATTCTTCTGATAAAGTTGAACCATTATGTCAATGTAGATGTGGTTATTAAAGGAAATGACATTTTGGTACTGACTCAGTTACTAAAAAACTTTTAAGAATGTTTGGAATAGCTTGGGTAAGTAAATCTGATCTTCCAGCTTTAAGCTTTATGAAAACTGAATATAGATCCAGTATTCCCAGTGAAAATTTAGTGTCTGGATGAGAGGTGCTACAAACATAAAATATACAGCAGGTTCAAAGACTTAGAATGAAAAAAGAGACTATAAACTATAAACTATCCCATGAATGATTTTTTAATATTGATTACATGTTAAAATAGTATTATAGATATGCTTGGTTGAATAAATTATATGATTAAAATTAATTTCAACTATTTCTTTTTACTTTTGTAAGGTGGCTACTAGAAAATTTAAAATCATACGAGCGGCTCACATTATATTTTTGTTGGACAGCTCTAGAATGTTGGTAACTCCCCAGATAAACAGGCTCTGCCAGGACTGAAATCTGCAGGCACAATACCCTGCAGAAACATCTGTGGGGCAGCATGCTCAGCCGCGTGGCAAAGGAAGGGCTGTCATGCCCAGGACTGAGAGTTGGGCACTATACAAGAACACAAGACCTCACCTCCTGTCATCTGAAAGAAACCACTATCCAGCATCTACCAGCAAGGGTTGCCCATGTCTAGGAGTCAAATGGCCCTGCTTCTCAACTTCTGTAATATTCCCTTATGGACAAAGCCAGTGTCTGCTGTGAGAGGGTAGAGCTGGGGCAGCCAGGGCCACACTTACTGCAGTGCTTGGATCGTGCTGGTTTCCTTAAATCACAAGTAGAGCACCTCACATTCCTTAGGAACATCACTTCATCGAATTCGTAAACTTGAAGAAACAATGATTCGTTTGCTTTTGTTATGGTACCTGGAAAACATTAAGGACAAAAGTCAGTTTCAAGCAATGCAGTGGACTTGATATTCACGAAACCTGCCCTGACACAGCACAATTAAAACTGCCATATTTAATATTTAAATAATTCATTTTATAATTTGTAACAGCTTTACTGAGATACATTAAAAAAACCAATTCACCCAGCCTGGCCAGGCGTGGCTCAGCGATTGAGCATTGACCTATGATCCAGGAGATCCTGGTTCGATTCCTGGTCAGGGCATGTGCCCAGGTTGCGTGCTTGATCCCTGGTGGGGGATGCAGGAGGCAGCCGATCAATGACTCTCTTATCATTGATGTTTCTCTCTCTTCCTCTCTCTGAAATCAATAAAGATATACTATTTAAAAAAAAATCACCTATTTAAAATGTACAATTCAATGGCTTTAGCATATCCACAGGCTTGTGCAACCAACACCACAATTTTAGAACATTTATATCACCCCCCAAAAAAACCCTTTAGCAGTCACTCCCCATTCCTCTCTAATCCCCTAACTTCTGGCAACCACTAATCAATACATCTGTCTCCATGGATTTGCCTTTTCTGGATACTTTATATAAATAGAATCATATAATATGTGGTCTTTTGTATATGGCTTCTTTCACTAACATAATATTTTCAAGGTTTCCCCATGCTGTAGCAGGTGTAAGTGTGAGTACTTCATTCCTTCTTCTTGCTGAGTAATAGTCCATTGGATAGGCATTCTACATTTTACTTATCTGTTCAACAGCTGATCGACATTTAATGATTCAAGGACAAGAAACGTTAAAAGTAAAAGAATGGAGGAAAAACAAGCAAATATCAATCAAAAGAAAGAAAGTATAATAATATTAATATCAGACAAAAAAGCCTTGAAAGCAATCACCAGTGATAGAGGCTCATTATAGTTTGAAAAGAGATTCAAGGAAGAGACAATACTAATTGTAAACATAAGTGATCCAATAAGATTATATATATAACTTACATAGACACACACACAGACACTAGCTTTGGATATGTGAAACAAAAACTTAAGAGGACTCTGTCATATCTACCATCAGAATGAGATAACATAATTTGTTTTTATTATAAAAATTAGTGCAAATATAAAAGATTTAAACATAATTAACAAGCTTGATATAACGTACTTATACAGTTCTCTGTATCCCAGAACAAATTCTTTTCAAGCACACGTCAAACACTTACAAAAACCACACGCCCAGACATAACGCAAATATCAATAAAATTTTCAAAAGAAATTGTATCCTACAGACCATAAGCTCTATATATAACACAATCAAGTGGAAGTAACAAAAAAATTAAACTAAAAAATTTATATGGAAATTTTTAAACTGTTCTAAATAGCCCATGGGTCAAAGAACAAAAAAATTTGAAAACACTCAAAACGGAAAGATCGTGCAATCACTATCAAATCTTTCACAAAGTCCTTCAAGGCATCACTACTTGTCTGCAGCACTATTCGTAAGGCTGACAGTTGAACCTCAACTTACCAGGGTCAGTTACACAACTCAGGGTGAAAAAAACCAGGTTTGCAATCAGCAGCAGATAGGGCAGCAGAAGGTAAGACAGGGAGAAGTCCAGCTCCTGACAGTAGCCAAGCATCTCCCAGGTGTATTCAGCGTAAACCGCCCCTTGCAAGGCGAGGTGCAGCACGATGAAGGTGTGGTTCCTGAAAGGAAGGGGCACCGGCTTGTTCCCGGGGCCTCTCCACAGGGAGATCATGCAGCACTCAGGACAGGTAACCGGCGGCCAACTACTCCCTTTGGGCTTGAGGTACTAGTAAGGGTTACGTGAGAAGCTATGGGAAACGCCTGGCACGGTGCCCAGCACCTAGTAAGTACTCAATAAATATTGTCTTATCATCACCATCTGTCTTGGGAACTGAGATCTCAGGTCAGAATATATTTCTCTTTATGGAAATGTGTTATCAATATTTTCCTACCCTTTAAATACTTCTGTTTAAGAGCAGACACGGCCAACCCCCAGAGAGAAAAGGCAGATTATGAGGAGAGGTTCTGAACCCAGGAGTCTCGATCCTTTGCAGCACCCTTCTCTGTATCACACTGGGAACCACAGGGAGCTTCCTGAAGCTACAGGACAGCAACAATTAACAACCCAAACAGAAAAGAAGTACCGTGTATGGAAGAGGTAATGAAGCAATCTTAGCATGGCTCTCTGAAGGCATTCTGGAATTACATAAGAAAATATCTAAAAAAAAAAAAGAAAAGAGAAACATTCAATTTCAATTTTCATCCCGCCCCACCCCCCGAATTAGATGCTTCACATTCAGCTAACAATACTGATGATATTGTGTTTCTGCGTATGGGCAGAGAAGAGACTTAAGAGAGAATAAAGAGGGTAGCTTGCCCAGACCATGTAGCTCAGTGGTTGAGTGTCGAACTACAAACCAGGAGGTCATGGTTCAATTCCCAGTCAGGGCACATGCCTGGGTTTCAGGCTTGACCTCCATTAGGGGGTGTGCAGGAGGCAGCTGACCAATGACTCTCTCTCATCATTGATGTTTCTATCTCTCTCTCCCTCTCCCTTACTCTCTCTGAAATCAAGAAAAACGTATTTAAAAAAAAGAGGGTGGCTTCCCTCAGTTGGCCTTCGAGGCAAATTCCTCCATTTTCCACCCTGACATCAAAGAAGGTACCATGTCAGGGTCTTCAAGCAAAGGAAGGTGAGCAGAGTAGATGGATCAGGTAATGCTTGAATCAGGTAATGCTAATGTGAACGTCACTCCTTTCCCTGCCTTGGGTTCAATCCCAAAATCCACTTCCAGATTACTGGCCATTAGCCCGGGACCCTCCCAAGTCAACCCCTTCCCAAGAGCTCCTCAACCCAATTTTGCTCACTTTGATCCCTGAAGGAGTATGGGCAGTCCAATGCTCAGCTTTCCGCTTCTATATCACCCAGTTTCACCCATGAGGCCCCTCCAGGCAGACACTGCTCAAATCCATGCCCAATTACAGGCATCAAATCCAGAAAAAATTAGCCAACCTTATGAATGCTACTTTCTCTCAAAGCATCAATACAAGATTACTTTCAACAATAAGAAAAAAAAAACGAGAGAGAGTGAGACTTTGGAATATACCACAACTGCCATAAATGAAAGTACAAGTGAACAAATGAATAAAGCTACATGGTCTTTTCTGTTCTGTCAGGAAACTGGAAGCCTTTTAGACTGGTGATATTCAAAATCCAGTGGTGTCCAAGCATCATTGTTACCTGTGAGCCTCCTCTGACCACACCTTTCAGGTACTGGGTTTTTAAGCAGATGCAGATCATAACACCACCAATCAGCACTAAAGCCAAGTAGAACATGAAGAGAACCAGAAAGTCCATCCTGGGGCTAGAAAGAAACAGAAAGAGTGTGACTATACTGAGAGATTCATCCCATAGTTCATATTCTCATACATCGACTCCCTAAATGGCTCCCAAAACAAAACTCACAGCCCTCAAGCACACACTGCCTCTTCCATCGGGCCTCCCAGAATGTCCTGAGCCCGCTTTCTCCTCCAAAATTCCCTAATCAAACCACGGTGATCTGCTTTGGGGCATCTCCTATCTGCAAATTCCAAAATAAAGTGGAGATGAATATGCAAAATGCATCCACCTTCCCTCCCCCCGGCAACAAATCATTCTTCTACTTCATTAAATATAAATATTCACACAGATATTAACACAGAATGTAGACAAAAGAATATGTTGGTAGCGCCATTGGACCAAGCATCTCCTAGAAGCTGTCAAGGGCCCAGGCTCAAGCTGAGAAGGGATGAATGAATACAGGCATGTATTTAAGAAACTGGAGATGGTTACTTTTGGCCTCAGTAAATACGATTCTGGGCCAGACTTCCAATGGAGAGAACCAACTAGAAACTATCACGCGAAGAAGACGGAGGAAACAAAAAGCAGCAATTCTCACGAGGTGACTCAAGGCCCTCCGCCTACATGTTCCTCGTTTGGATAACTTTCTCTGCAGGCAGCTCTAGCATTCCTACTCCCAACATTCAGAGAGAATTCAAAGGGCGTCTCTTGTGCAGAGGCAAGCGCCTGGAACAGCAGGGGGCACCCACAGCTGCAGGAGACATGGTTCCTCCAGGCCGCTGAATCTGGCTGCAAAGACAGATCAATGCAACACTCACATAAGACGACTCACGAAATGGGAGGCAGGGGAGGAATACACTGGGGACAAGAATTTGGAAGTCGGGGGATATTGAGACCCCTCAGGTTGAACGGGGTTTATAAGGCTTCTGAAGAAAAAGCTAATAGGGGAGAAACACGCGGGGAGCCTTGGATACCTATCCCTGAGATGCCCACGCTGGGGACCCTGCAGAAAGGCCTCCCCGAAACTACTCTATCCTAGGGTCACGGCCGGTGAGCCTCGCAGGAGCTTCCCCAGGGGCGGGAACCTAGAGCGGGGCGGGGGGGTGGACAGGGGACACTGGGGGTGCCCGGGCCCCGGGCGGGGTGGAAGTGAGAAGGGCGGTCATACTGCCAGAAGGACGGCCCAGCGCCACCCCGGGTATCCGAGCGCCCAGGGGAGGCCGCCTTACCTCCTAGAGAGACCGACCAGCCCCCCTGGGGCACCGCGGCGGCGCCTCCAGGACGCGCCCCCTGACTTCCGTCGCACCCGTGGCGTCAGCACGCGACGCCGGCGGCCGGGCCGACTTCCTGCGGAAGTGCGGGTCCCGCGGTTCGCGTTCCGCCTCCGCAGGGGTTGCCCTCGTTTCCCAGTTCCGCGCCTGCGGACTCTGGTGGAGTCTGACGGCTGGAAGGTCGGGCTCCACGGCGCGTTTCCAAAAATCTTACAGAAAGGCCGCCCTGGGCCTGGCGCGGGCGCGGGCGCGGGCGCGAACGCCGGTGCTGCGAAGCGGACGGAG